AGCCAGTGTACGAGTGAGCAAGGGGAACCGGTGAGGATAAGGACCGCACGCAAACGCTTGCAAAATCTTGTCACGGGGGCACAGTGTACGTGCTCATTAGTAATAAGAATATCATGTGTCACCTTTTTTTTCTTGCGCATCTAATTGTCAAATGCATATATCGCTTACAAAATCTTGTCGCGGGGGCACAGTGTACGTGCTCATTAGTAATAAGAATATCATGTGTCACATTCTTTTTCTTGCGAATCTAATTGTCGAATGCATACGTTTGCAGAATATTAGAGTTTGCAGCTGTGACTAAAAAATCACGCTGCGAAATGCGCGGGCGGCGTGGGCGGCGCGGACGGCGCGGGCGGCGCGGACGGCGCGGGCGGCGCGGAAACCGCCGCAAAATCCGTCGCAATAACCGCCGCGAAAAAACGGTCGCGAAAATCGCCGCGAAAAAACCGCCGCGGATCGGTAAAACGATCTATCGAAAGCAGATAGAAAAATTATATAATATCGGTAATTACCGATCATCGGTATTATGTAAATGTGACAGTAAAAATTATGTAAAAATATATATATGTTGGTAAAAAAATTAAATATTGGTATATAATATGGGTAATAAATTACCGATCGTGGGTACTATCGGTATTGTGTAATTATATGTTGGTAAAAATTATATGTTGGTAAAAATTATGTAATTAAATGTTATATAATATCGGTAAAAATTACCGACCGTCGGTAACATCGGTATGCCCCCAGTTACCGACTGCTGATAACTCCCTTCCGCGGTGACGCAATCCTCATGACGTCATATCCCCCGGGGTGACGTCATACCCTCTCGTGACGTCATACCCCCTCCGCCCCTCACTCCCCCCCCCCTCGGAGGATCATGGGTTAGAACCCCTATACTATACCCTATACCTACTTATGTCCTTGACAGAAATCGTGGGCTTGTCCATGCAGCGCTGAGTCGGGCAGGGTGCTGATACAATTAGATGTGAACTGCACGGGTTCTTCGACGCGTCAAGTTCAGCCTATGCAGCCGCGGTATATCTACAAGTCGCATCAGTGTTGGGTGCCGTGACAGTGTCTCTGTTGGCCGGAAAGTCGTAGGTAGCGCCTATAAAGACTTTGAGCATTCCGAGACTGAAACTCTCGGTAACAATTTTACTGTCCCGGTTGTTAAAATTCTCGCGAGAGTCTCTCCACTTAACTACCGTTCCGTGGACTGACTCCACGATCGTGCTCGCCTGGCTCAATCAGCATCCGATCAAATGGAAGACGTTTGTTGCCAACCGAGTCTCGGAAATAAACTCTCGTATTCCCACCGCCATCTGGCGCCACGTCTCTACGCATCACAATCCAGCCGACTGTGCATCTAGAGGTGTCCTCGGTCGCGATCTCGCCAACCATCATCTGTAGTGGCATGGCCTGGCATGGCTTCGACTTGAGAGATCGGAGTGGCCGCCCTTATTCGACCGACATCCATGGAAGAAAAGTCTGTCGCAGTCTCTTTCGTCGAGGTTTCTTACATGTCTTGGGATCTCGCAACGAAATATTCGTCGTGGCGCAAGTTGATCAAGGTCATTGATTACATGTTGCGGTTCATTTAGAGGTACCGTGGATTTCAAAGAGAAGGCAATGGTTTTGATGGCAATGGTATCGCTCTCGTTTCTTCCGAATATCGACAAGCTCAAATTTTCTGGATCCGACATGCAGTCCGAGTTGTTCCGAGTTGTAAAGAAAAGACCGCACTTCTCAGCGATCATTTCCGTCCAGAAGTTCTCTCTGCATGTTAAATCCGTTTCTTGATGCCGACAAATTAATCTGTGTTGGCGGGCGGTTGAGAAATTCTTCTTTACCGTTCAAAACGAAACATCCAATCGTACTAGCCGCACACCCCGTAGTCTCTTTAATTATTCGTCAGGCGCACTTGAGATCTCTGTACGCGGGACTACAGTTAACGTTTACGACGATACGACAAGATTATTGGATCCTGCGAGCACGACATTTGGTCAGATCAATTATACATCGATGCGTCGTGTGCACGCGAGAACGGGCCAGAATCCCGACTCAGTTAATAGGAGATCTACTGTATACTCGAGTGAACCCACCAACTCGCGCTTTCGTGCATTACGGACTCGACTACGCCGGCCCAGTGCTCGTCAGAGCACTGGCGGGCCGAGGCGTAACGGTACGTAAGATCTACATTGCCATTTTCATTTGTTTGGCTTCGAGAGCCGTTCACTTAGAACTGGTTGACGGTTCCCGCAGTTACACTCCTGCATTTATCGCTGCGTATTCTCGCTTTTGCTCTTGTCGTGGACTACCTGAGACTGTCCATTCGGACAACGGCACAACGTTCATCGGCGCAAATCGCGAACTCACACTCGCCTTCCGAGCTGCTCTTCGGAACCCGAATTTTCAAAATCGTACTGCGGGCAATGGCGTGACGTGGAAATTCATTCCCCCGTCAGCGCCACATTTCGGAGGCTTATGGGAAGCGGAAGTTCGCAGCGTCAAGTACCATCTTCGTCGGGTGCTGAGGACTTATACCTTAACCTTCGAAGAATTCACCACTTTATTGTGTTATGTTGAGGCATGTTTAAATTTGCGCCCATTGGGACCGCTAACCGACAGTTTGGACGACTTCGAGTCCTTGACCCCCGGAAATTTTTTGAACCTTCAGTTCTGACTATCAAAGAGAACCGACTGTCCCGATGGCAGCTCCTGCGTCAATTGTCTGAGCGATTCTGGTGAATTTGGACCGACGATTATCTTAATATGTTACAACGACGATTCAAGTGGCGACGCATCGCTTCTGATAGTGTAAAAGTTGGAAGTCTAGTCCTGATTCGAAATTCCGCACTGCTGCCATGCAAATGGGATTTGGGACGGGTGACCAGTTAGTGTGAAGCCCGACACCCGTAGGATGCCGCGCTTTGCTTCCTCAGCCATGAAGGCTATACGCCACATACTACCATCTGCCTTCCAGCGATGTCAACCACTGACAGGGGAAGGGGCAATGGAAAAATCCAGCAGCGCCTGCGGGACGTGTTCGCAGGATGAGCGGTTTAGCCGTGACGCGCGCGCCGCCTGCCGTTGTGGCTGCAGCGCGCGCCCCACGCCCACGGGGACCACGGGGAGGCCCGCTCACTTGTGTCTCGCCCAGACACACGCTCTGACCCTTTGGATGGGATGGGAAGGGAAAAGGAATGGGTATTTGGTTTAGGTGATGGAGGTGAGGAGGACCTGAAAATAAAATAAAATATTAGTAATTTCCTACCTCAGCGGCCCGGGTCCACGGTGATCTCGCGAAGGTTGCGAGGCCGTTTACCCATGCCCGGAGGCTCCGACATCCCCCGGGTAGGCCGCTGTGAAATCTAATATGGACCCTTTAAGAAGAGGGTTTCCCGACAGAAGGCCGCGAAGATGGAGTAGGCCTCTGGAGTCGACACGAAGTAATGTGCCGCCTCCGGCCATCTCCAGCTCGCGGCCGGAACAACCTCCCGAAGAGCCTTCCGCTGCGGCTCGAATTCGGGACAGCGCAGAAGGTGGTGCGCGGCCGTGTCGCTTCCCTCCCCACAAACACACATCTCACCTTTCACAAGGCCCAAGGACGCAAGGCGTGCCTGGAACCTGCCGTGTCCGGTGATCATTTGTGTCACGTTGTGGTCAGGGCAGACCCACCGCGCATCAACCCTGCGCTCTACATTACTAAAGAAGGCGTACGTAGTGCGGCCTTTGCTCGAAGAAGACCATCGAGCCTGCCACACCTTGTACGCCTCGCCCCTAATGAGACCCTGGGTCTCTTTAAGATTCCCGGTGAACGGGACTACTGCATCACATAGCCTGGCATCCATCTCCTTCCTTGCCATATATCGCGCCGAATATTCGCGGAGAAGAATGTCGACGGGAAGCGCGCCAGCAACCACGCAGAGCGACTCCGTCGACGCCGTGCGGTACGCAGCGGTCGTCGAGATGAGCGCTCGGCGCTGCAGGGTCCTGAGAACCTTCAGGTCAGCCCCCGCGCACAGGTCGGCCCACCCGGCAGCGGCGTAAGCCACCGTCGGCGCGAACACGCCCCGGTAGATCGCGGAGAGCGCACTGAAGCGCAATCCCCACCGACATCCCGCCATCCTAGCTAATTTACTAAAGAGCGACCCGACCTTGTCGCTCAAGTATCTACAATGGGAGGATACTCCCATGTCCCTGTCAAAATGGATGCCTAGGTACCTAACTGTTTTCTTAAACGCGATCTTTTCATTTCCTAAACGAATGGTCGGTGGTCTTGCCGCGAGATTTGTCTTCTTGGCCCAGTGGGCTTTACGTTTCCGGTCCGGACGCGCTCCTCCCCGTCTACCGATGGGGGCCCTCCTGATCGGTTCGCTCCTGAGTACGATTGCCTCAGTCTTACGCGATGAGATCTGGAGTTTGGCCCCCTCGCACCAATTCCTAACTAAGTTTGCTACACGTTGCCCTCTTTCTTCTAATTCTTTCCGCGAGTCGCCTTCGACCGTGACCAAAAGGTCGTCGGCGTACGCGATAAACGACCTACCTATCTCCCTCTCTAGTTCGCGGAGAAGCCCATCGAACATAACTGTCCAGCACGCTGGACCTAAAACCGAGCCTTGAGGGCAACCTCTACTCGCGTCCTTGGAGACTCGAATGTCTCCAAAGGACACGCTAACCTTCCTATCGCTAAAATAACTTCGGAGAACCTGGAAGATATTTTGAGGGCAGCCTAGCCTCTTCCAGGTCTCCAGGACTAGAGGCCACCAGACATTGTCGAAGGCGCCGGCTATGTCGAAGAGCAGCGCATAGACGTATCTCCGCTCGGAGGCGGAGACCATCCGACGCAGCTCAACGATCGCGTCCTCCGTCGACCTTCCGGCCATGAAGCCGAACTGCCGATCGGAGAGTCTCCCCGGCGCCATCGACGTCCGATCGAGTCGCTTCTTCAGAAGCTTCTCGAAGAATTTCCCTACAACGGAGAGGAGACAGATGGGTCTGTAAGATTTAGGGTCCTTCGCGTCCTTGCCCTCGCCCTTCAGGAAGATTCTAAGTGAGCCCTCCTTCCAGATCGAGGGAAAGACGCCCCATTGAAGGCACCCGTTAAAGAGCCTAACAAACTGACCGGGGATTACCTTAATGGCGGCCTTTAGCGCTGCAACCTCAACGAGGTCCAGGCCAGGCGCCTTCCTGACTTTCAGGGTTTTCGCGACGGCGACGATTTCTGCCTCCGTGAAGAGCGGGGCATCGTCTCCGTCGGGCGCGTTGAACGCGCTTCCCCTGATTTCACGCTGCATCGGCGTGTCGTCGTTCGCCCGGTCATCAGGGACGTGCACCTCCAGCAGGTGCCTGGCGGTCTCCTCTATGGTGGTGGTCGAGGAGCCATCATCGCGGCGGAGGCTGCTGAGCACTTCGTCCACTCGGAGCTTCCGGGCCTCGCGTTTGTACACGAATCCCCATGGCTCCGAGTTTCCCACCTCCGTCACGAATCTCCGCCAGCTGTCGCGCTTCGCCTTCCGCACCTCCCTCGTGTACCTCCTCAGCGAAAAGAGGTAGGCACTTCGGCCGGAGGCACGGAGCGGCTTAGCGTTTTCCCGCTGGAAGGCACGCCGCGCCCTATAGACGTCCTTCTTCAGGATCGTCAACTGTCTTGTCCACCACGGGTTGGACTTTCTAAAACGCCTCTTCCTGGGCATTGCCCGTTCCGAGGCTTCGACCAAAACTTGAGAAATGGACTTCGCGAAGCCCTCCACCCCCCCAGCGGACTCCAAACTGAGGACCTCGAGTCTCGACGCGGAAAGGTCGATGAGGCTATCGGCGTACTTCTCCCAGTCGGCACGACTCGCGTCGAACCGAGAGCTGGAGGTAGGCCGGTCATTGCCTCTGACTCTCGGCACCCTCAGACGGATGTCCAGGGCACTGTGGTCGCTCGTCGTCCAGTCGCACCTGACCTTCCATTCGCCGAAGAATTGGCTCATGGCCGGAGTCGCCAGGGTCACGTCAATATGTGACGATCCCCATGACGTCCAATAGGTCGGCGACTGTCCGAGAGCGTTGAGGATTTTCCATCCGCAAGCGCGGATGAATTCCTCGAGCTTCGCGCCCCTATCGTTTACCATGCGGTCACCCCACATCGGGGATCGCGCGTTGGCGTCCATGCCTATCAACAATCTCTTCCCCCTCAGCGAATGAAACACCGCCTCGAGGTGTCTGAGGTGCCCCTCAATCTCGTCGCTGTACTGGAAGTAGCACGATGCGACGTAGAAAGAGAAGCCGGGCGCCCGCACTTCCGCGCACGCACAGTGCGCGGTGCTGAGCTGCGAGATCTCCATGATATGGAACGAGGGGTTTGAAACTGCCACTGCAGCCCACGGACGTTCCGAGCGTGCAGCGGCCACCCTCGTTCCCTGCCCTAAACCGAGAATGGCGAAGCTCGAGCCTTGCTTCCGGACGTGCATTTCCTGCAAGAGCAGGACGTCCAGTCGCTTCTCGGCTACGAGCTGACGGACTTCGCCACTAACCACAGCTGAACGCCTCATGTTCAGCTGCATAACCCTAATGCCCATGGACCTTAACGATGAAGAGGAAACGACCGGAGCTATTTGAGGGGACATCGCGAGCGAGCGATCACCATTCGCGAGCGCGGACGTGGGCGCAGACGCGGACGCGGACCCTACACCAATTCCTACTGTATTTTGCCTCACTCGACCCGGCGTGGGCATTTCGTCGCACCTAACCAGCCTAATCGAGACAGCACGAAGGCTGCGACCTGGAGGCGAAGCTCCAACGGCGGTAACCCTAACCACCGGCGCGCCCGCCGCAGACGCGCCGGCTTGGTGGTCATCCCGTGGCCCATCACTCGATGACGACCTGAGGGGGCCTGGGACCACAACCCCCTCATGCCGGCGCGACGTTACCGACCCGCCGCAGGTAACGAATTTGGTAGACAAGCCCATATTGAATTGAGTTAAATTAAATGGGGGGTATGTCGGGACCCCCCAGCCCGGCGGCCCTTCAAGCACGCTGCCTCATGAGAGGCGAGAAGAAGAAGAAGAAGAACAAGAACAAGAAGAAGAAGAGCAAGAAGAGGTAGAGAAAGAAGAAGAAAATGAAAGAAAGGGGTCACAGTGGGGGATGGTCAGAGCCATGCCTACACCGCACTGCTCCCCTGCGGACCTGAAAATAAATATACCCCCGGTTCCGTCGACCCTGCCGCGGGAAGCGGAGGGGCGCAGGGCCCGGTAGGTTGCTGTAACGGCCCCTGCCTTCCCTCCCTGCATCAGGGATGCAGCAAGGGAAAGCGGAATGCGATAAGCCGCCAAGGGGTAGGGGAAAATGGAAGGAGTTTGGAGAATTTAGGTTAGCGCCGCTAGCGTCATAGCGGTCCCGCCCAGGTTCGACGGCCGCGGCGCCGAGCCAATTATGTGCTCGCGGCAATGCTGTGTTTTATGCTGCACCTGAAAGAGAAAAATACCCCCGGTTCCGTCGCCCCTTCCACCAAAGCGGAGGAACGCAGGCCCCGGTAGGTTGTTACGGCAGCCCATGCCCCCCCTCCCTGCATCAAGGATGCAGCGAGGCGGGGCGAAGGGCCACCTAGGGTTGGGGAAAAGGAAAAGGGAGTAGGCGGTGTGGGTTTTATGCCGCTAGCGCCATGACGGTCCCGTCCAGGACCGACGGCCGCGG